GTAACTCCAACTTTCAAATAGATAAATAAATCTTAAAAAAAAACAAAAACAATAACAAAACATAGCTCCAGGCCCACACACAGTAGAAAGTAAGGAAGGGTTTCAAGCCATAGTTCAATCTGTGCATTGCTATCAGGATGATTTCTTTGAGCTACTTCTCTTCGTTCTTATATCATGACACTCAAGCCTCAAAATCTAGAGGAATCTAGTTGGTTGAAGTTGGATCACACATCCATCACTTGGATTGGCCCTTTCCATGGGAGACAAGTCATTTCTCCAGGAAATGGGATTCTCAAAAGGAAAAATAAAGGTGTTATCAATGAAGAGGGGAAACTCAGTGCTTGGCAATAAAACACTACTAAATATCCAAATTAAAAAACTACTTTAGGGACTAAAACTCTAACATAATAGGAAAGAGAAATCTTAAGAATCTTATTTAAGCAGATTGGATTTGAAATCAAGGGCAACACATTTTGACAAGTATATCCTCTCTCCTATTCATGTTTTCCATATAATTCAGGGTTTTCCTTCCATGTTAAATTACTTAGGAAGCCATCTTTTTGTTTTGTTTTGTTTTGACAGGCAGAGTGGACAGTGAGAGAGAGAGAGACAGAGAGAAAGGTCTTCCTTTTGCCGTTGGTTCACCCTCCAATGGCCACCACCGGCAGGTGCGCTGCGGCCGGTGCACCACGCTGATCCGATGGCAGGAGCCAGGTACTTCTCCTGGTCTCCCATGGGGTGCAGGGCCCAAGTACTTGGGCCATCCTCCACTGCACTCCCGGGCCACAGCAGAGAGCTGACCTGGAAGAGGGGCAACCGGGACAGAATCCAGTGCCCCGACCGGGACTAGAACCCGGGGTACCGGCGCCGCAAGGCGGAGGATTAGCCTAGTGAGCCACGACGCTGGCCAGGAAGCCATCTTTTTAACAGAAAAAAAAAAAAAAAAAAAAACAAAAAAAAAACAAAAAAACAACAAATGTTTGGAAGAAGTCACAAAAAAACTTTAAAAAAAAAAACAAATAAATATGCTACACATACATTCACACCTATAATTACAGACATGGTTGTTAGTTTAGGAACTATTCTCTGAAACAGAGATCCTTTACCCTTGCAAAGAGCAGGTCCTCCACAACTGTGTAATAAAGGCAGAAATCTATAATGTGATTCTAAAAATATGACTTCCAAGAAAATGTTTATGGGTAGGAAAGACAGATGCATCAGCATAAAAGAGCTTTCACACAGAACACGATGACTTGTTTTTCCTTCTACTGATTCTAGAAACAGCTTTCAGTTTCATTGTAACTACAGTCAGAAGAATTGATGATTTTCATTGGCACATCTCTTTGCTCCTGGAACTGCTTGTTAATAGTGGCTGTGAAATGTTATTCTGTGCTATCAAAAAAAAAAGTAATATAGAGCAAGTGATACTGGCATAAGGATGGACTTCTATGTCGCCGAAAGCAGCTAACTGAAACTGGCATTGAAGGTGGTGAAGGAAGTCGCTAGCAGCAGAACACAGAGAGGAGCAAGCAGAGTTGAATTTATTAAAAAAATAAAAAATTAAAAAACACTGCAAGGGAGCATTGGATGAGCAGGTCAACAAGAAAGATGCCTGCTGCTGCCATATGCTGCAAGGAGCAGAAGTCGAGCAGGGCAGCTAGAAGCTGACTACTGCTGCAACATGGATTATTATCTGGGAGATATGTACCTAATTTTTTAAAAATGAAAATCAAAACTACAATAGATACACTTCAAATCCCCAAAAATGACTACAAACCACCCACAGTAAATGTTGACAAGGATATAGAAGAATTGAATTTCTCTTACATTGCTACTGAGACTGTAAAATGGTACACCCACTTTGGAAAGCAGTTTGGCTGTTCCTTTCAATGCTACACATATGATTATGTTAATATTAAACCATAGAATCTAATAATTCTAGTAGATAAGAGAAATAAAGGCATATGTCCACACAAAAACTATGCATGAATGTACCTACCAGCATTATGTACAATAGCTTAAAGGTGGAAACAGTCCAAATCTCTATCCACTGGTGGATTTTTAATGAGGTGTACATATGCAATGGAATAATATTTAGCAATATACAAGAAAGAATGAGGTACTGACACATGCAAGAAGATGGATGACCCTTGAGAACATGCTAAATACAAACAGTCAGTCACAAAGGGCAACCTGGTGAGAATGATTCCTCTTCTATGAAATGTCCTGAGTATGTAAATCCATAGGAACAAACCAGTAGTACCCAGGGGCTTCGATATAAATATACTGCATGTGGCTCTCATGGGCATAAGGCTTCCTCTGAGGGTAATGACAATGTTCTGAAATTGGATGGTAGTAACGACTGTCCTATGACTATGTTCTTGAATGTGTAAAAACCCACTGAAATACATACCTTAAAAGTTTCGATTTTTTATTTTAAATCTCACAGTAAATGAAAACACACAGTATTTACCTATCTGTATCTGACTTATTTCACTCAACCCGTCTTCCAGTTTCATCCATTTTGCTGCAAATGACTTAATTTCATTCTTTTTTATAGCTGAATAATATTTCATTTTGTATGTATTTTTTTAATCCATTCATCTGATAATGGACTTGGTTGAGTCTATATTTTGGCTGTTGTGAATAGTGTTGTTATAAACATGGTAGTGCAGATACCTCTTTGATATAATGAGTTCATGTCTTTTGGGAACAAATCCAGTAGTGGGATACTGGCTCACATGACAGGTCCATTTCTGGTTTTTTCTTAATGGTATACAAATTACATCTCAATAAACTTGCTACTTAAGAAAAATCAGAGTCAGTAATCATCTCTCTGAGATGGTAAATTTATGGGATGACTTGTAGTTTTCCAAACTTCATGTTTTCAGACATTTCTATAACTGTGTGTACAATCTATCCTTTGTCTACGATCTTCTACCCATGTTCCCTTCCCGTGACTATTCTGCCCTGATATTTTCCTATTCTTCCTTCATGAATTGGTTCAAACTTCACCTATACTACAAAGACTTCTTGATACCTCACTGAACGTTCAGCTTCATTCAGCTGAAGGCCCACTTATGCATCCCAGCACATGGTAATAATCTGTTTCTATGCCTATGTCCCACTGGTGTGTAAGCTTCTTCCAGTAAATTTATCTTTGTGTTTTGAGGTCTGGCACAGTGCCTGGTACATTTCTAAGGTCATTTAAAAATGTTTACTAACTGAAGCCAAGACACTCTGAAAAAAAAAAAATGACCTAAATGAAAGATCTCTGTGAGTGAGATCCCAGTGGAAAGAACAGGTCTTCAAAGAAGGAGGTACCTTTCTCTGAAGGGAGGAGAGAACCTCCACTTTGAATATGACCTTGTCTAAACAAGATAAGAGTCGGTGAACTCAAAAGGCTTCCATAGCCTTGGAAACTCATGACTGGTGCATAGGGAGATTACTGATGCCATAAACAGGAGTGTCAATTTGTAAAGTCAACAACAGGAGTCACTGTGCACTTACTCCTCATGTAGGATCTCTGTCCTTAATGTGCTGTACATTGAGACTTAATGCTATAATGAGTACTCAAATAGTATATTTCGCTTTGTGTTTCTATGGGGGTGCAAACTGTTGAAATCTTTACTTAATGTATACTAAACTGATCTTCTGTGAAAAAAAAAAAAAAAAAAAAAAAACAGAAGAAATTATCAATTCCCAACTTGACTCTCACTGGGATTAAACATGACAATAGGTCTGATCTGATTTCATCATCATTTAAAAAATCATCTATTATTTTTCACTTTATGTTTCTGTGTGGGAGCAAACTGTTGAAATCTTTACTTAATGTATGCTAAACTGATCTTCTGTATATAAAGAGAATCGAAAATGAATCTTGATGTGAATGGAAGGGGAGAGGGAGTGGGAAAGGGGAGGGATGCGGGTGGGAGAGACGATATGGGGGGGAAGCCATTGTAATCCATAAGCCGTACTTTGGAAATTTATATTCATTAAATAAAAGTTAAAAACAAACTACTTAAAAAAATGTTTACTAACTGAATAATTAAATAAATGAAGGCTTGAAGACAGAAAACGAAACAAAAGCCTAACTCTAGAGGAACAATTATGTAACGTCAGGGTGTATTCAGATCACTTACAGTGTGTTGGATTTAAACTTTAAAAGCTTTTATATGTTCAAGTCAAATTGCCTATGGAAATCAAGCTACCACAAATAAATATTTGCTTTCTAAATATGAGTTGCTAACTTAGCTTTCACTTGTCCCAGGACAAGTTGAGCTTCCAAAGAAAGGCAAGAAATTGAGCTTGCCACATGGAATACACTTGCAAAACTGATCAACTAGATTATAAGATCCTGAATCATTTTATTGTTGTGCATTGGTCAATAGAGCCAAAATACTTTAAGGATTGAATGATGGGTCTATTATGGTGATAAATAAGACCACAGATGAATAAATGTTAACCAGATATTAGCCTTCCAAAACAGGATTGCCCTGCATCTTAACGTTACTTTGTAGAAGAAGAGATAAAAAGGAAAATAATTCCAGGACTAGAAAATCATGTGTAAAAGTGAGAATATGTGTGGTAAATTGAAGAAGCCAATGTGGCTAGTGCATGATGAACATGAGACAGCAGCTCTTGATAGTTAACATGATTCTGTTAGACAGAACTATTGGTCTTAATTCCTCATCTCACTTCCCTAAACAGCAGGAGCGATCTTCAAAAGTTCATGGAAAACTATTAATATGGAAAAACAATGCATGGATTTCAAATTATTTTTGTTCCAAAATAAACTTAGCTTGCAATTAGATTTATCAGTGAATTTCTTGCAGTGCCCTCACAGGCTGCAAGGTCACCTTTGCCAGGGTCTCAAAGATGGAGTCTATATTCACCCAACCCATGATTTTGGGCTTAACAGAAAGTTTGTCAATGGAAAGACAGAAGTGATCTTGTCATTTTCTAGAAAGTCAAAATGGAAACAGTGTGTTCCTGCTTACCTTCCTGGAGTTGTACCCTCCATGTAGAGTCCTAAAATTACATCAGGCTCCAGCCCACCAGTAGACATGAGAGCAACAGCGTTAGTATTGGTTAATTATATAGCATTCCCATGGCAATGGTAAGCTGATATCACCGTCAATTCTCATCAGCCACATTTTTATCCATTTTTCACTTAAAAAAAAAAACAGGATGTATTTATTTGAAAGGTAGAGTTAGAGAGAGAAAGAGAGAAAGAGAAAAAGAAAGAGAGAAAGAGAGAGAGAGAGAGAGAGAGAGAGAGAGAGAGAGAGAGAGAGAGAATGTCTTCCATCCACTGGTACACTCCCCAAATGGCTGCAATGACCAGTGCTGGGCCAGGCTGAAGCCAGAAGCCAGGAGCTTCTTCTGGGTCACTCATGTGGGTGCAGGGGCCCAACCGCTTGGGCTATCCTCTGCTGGTTTCCAGGCACACTAGCAGGGAGCTGAATGGGAAGTGGAGCAGCTGGGACTCAAACCAGCACCTACATGGGATGTTGGCATTGCAGGCAGTGGCTTAACCCAATGCCAGTCCCTCTATTTTTCACTTTTTAAAGACTTTTTGGGGCTGGCACTGTGACATAGTGGGTAAAGCCACCATCTGTAGCACTGTCATCCCATGTGGGCACCAGTTTGAAACTCGGATGCTCCATTTCCAATCCAGCTTCTTGCTAATTCCCCTGGGAAAGCGGCAGCAGGAGGCCCCAGTGCTTGGGCCACTGCACCTACATGGGAGACATGGATGAAAGTCCAAGCTTCTACCTTTGCACTGCCCCAGCCCTCACCATTGTGGCCATTTGTGGAGTGAACTGGCAAACTGAATGTGAACCAATTTCACTCACTTAACTCTCTCTCCTTCTCTTTTTTAACTATACTTTTCAAATAAACCAAATCTCTTACAAAACCACTTTCTTATTGTTCATATAATATACAGTTGCCAAGTCATTCCTGGAAATGGATGGTTGTTTTCAACTCATAATTAAGCAAACAGGAGTCCAAGTAACTCTATTTGGAAAACATAAACCTTATCTGACCACATGTCTGATTTGTTCCAGCCATTTGTTTAGTTGAAAGAAAGCTAAATTCTCATCTCTTTTCCACCTTTTCACCAGGACGTCTGTGATTTCAGTTTTGTAGTTGCAAGTTTCTACATAACTGAAAATACACACACACACAGAACTCCCTGGCTTGTGGTTTACATTTTGATACTTTGGAATGTGAGTACTAGTCATTCAAAAGATGAAAGATTTCTCAACAAAGTAAAACCACCAAAGGTAGTGTGAAGTTATTTTATAAATAAACCTGATTCATGCTCATTTTCTCAGGTTATAGTTCTTAAGCTAAATTTCTCAAAAAGATTTAAAGAATATGTATCCCAAACTTGAACTTAATAGGTATGCAAATAGAAGATTAATCTTATCATTTGTGGTGAGACATGTCGTAGGACTTGTTGCTTGGGAATATAAATCCTAAAACATTTCTGAAAATAGAGCAATTATTCAGCATGACATTGAGTGTGGTTCCACACAACACAACAAGCAATATAGATCCATGAAACAAAAGGTTTAAGTATTGCCCAAAGTGATTGTACCCTAAACAATGACTTTAAAAATTAATTCTTCTGGGAGCCACACATAGTGGGCCTCCGAACGCAGCCTGGCCAATTAGTGTACCCATCCCTGTGCCTTGGTGATTGTTAGAGATGGATGTAGACCTAAATTGGATTTTCCTATTGAAGATGAAACGGAAGTTGGCTGCTGACAGTCAGGGCTGCCGATCTGCTAAGATGTGTGAGATGTCTACCTGGACCCCACAAGGAGAATGAGCAAGCCAAGCACAGGCAGGCAGCTTGGAGAACAGAGGGTTGGTCTGCCACCACTTTTTCCAGCCCTTGGTCTCCAGTGTTGACAATAAACAAGATACAATTCTTTTAACTGTACATAGAAACAGGGAGACTGGATGTTTAGGTAAGCTTTCCTTAACATGGCTTCCTGTAAAACTTGACCAACAAAAGATGCCAGTGTGCTGCAAGTCATGCTATAGGATGCTGGAACACATCAGTCCTCTCATCCTATCAGACTCACTCTATCTTTTGTAGGGGAGGTTCTGGAATTGTTAAGTAGATTTTAGAAGGAAATCTTAACTTAAGGTTAATTTTGTTTTCACTTCATTGAAGGAACCCAATCTACTGAGCCCTGAACTCTGCTGTTTATAACCATCCTTCCATCAGCTCTTCCTCTTCCAATTCACTCACCTCATCCACTTTGGTTCGTGTTTCCCGACTCAAGATGCAGTCTGTGACTTGCATAGGTTGGCCACACATGAAATTTCTTTCACAAGATTCAGAGCATACACAAGCTAAGCCTAGAAATGCAAAATCAAAGATATTTTCAGGGGAAACAAAAGCTTTTGAATCATGCAGTCTATCCAGAGTCCTGAGAGTGTACTTGGAATGAAAAGAGCATGCTTAGAGAAGGTGGTACAAGGTAACAACAAAGATAGGAAAGAGGAAAAAAAAATAGGAAGTGGATTTTATTAAACCTTGGATGTGCCATTGAGTATTTCTACAGCGGATGCCTGTTGAAAACAAAGGATTATACAGTTATCTGTTTTTATCTGAGATGTTCCAGGCATTTGAAGAGAGACTCGGTCATAGTCAGCTAAATCAGTAAATACTTCTGAACACCTGCTGAGTGCTAGGGACACAATAATTAACTAGGATCTTTCTCACTTTTTCTCCGTGCTTGATTTTGCGCTGACCCCATTATCCTGGAGTAGGATACAGTATGCTTGTCTAAGATCCTTAAAGCCGAGGCATGAAACTTGATGATTGATCATATGTAAATACCACAGTCAACTCAGAAAATCAAAGAACTGTCTGAACATGAAGAACAGGTGCCAGGGAAGAAAAAATATCAGATACTCAGTTCATAAGGGATGGCAAGCATTTGCTCTCCCATTGCAAACTGCCCCAAATTGAAGCCTTAATCTGTGACTCCCCTTCAGGAATCAAAGAAAGGATGAAGTGGTGAGGAGTGCAGTGTACAGTCACCACAACGGAACATCCAAGTCTGACCTCTGTTCCTGTACCTCTAGCCTGAGAGAGTAAGGAACAGTCACAATCTGGGAGAGATGTTTCTCCTTTCTGGGTTGGATATGGACAATCAGCTAGAGAGGAGTATCTAAGTAATATTATATCTATTTTGGAGACAAGAGCCCTTTATTCTGTATTGACCAAGAACAGGGAACTGGTATATGCATACACCATTTGACAAGGACAACAAAAACTATTGCTTACTGTGTATGGTAACATGCATACATTAGGTACTCAGAATGTATCTGAGTGAAAGGAAATCCTATGTTAAATACATCAGTCAGGTGATGCACCCCTGAATTACCAGAAGATGGTCATAAGTGAAATCAACTGAAAAAAAAAACAAAAATCATCTAGTTCAGCAGTTCTCAAACATTAAATCTTCAGACCTCTCGACATTCTTAAAAGACTCTTTGTATTCCTTGGTCATTTTTTTTTTCATGTGATTATGTCTGTATTTACCATATTAGATACCAAAACTGACAAAGTTATAAACATACATTTCATTAACCATCAGAACAAAGGCATCATCTCACATCGTAGAGCTTCTATAACACTCCACTGTGCACTTCTGAATGTGAAAATGACAAATACGGTCTTAGCACCATTGTGAAAATAGTATTGATTTCATGAACCCTCCCCCCCTAAAAGAGACATCCCTAAGGGTTTCTGAACCGCAGTTTAAGAATCCCCGATCTGCAGTTTTCAGAAGCAGTAAGATTTTCTGGGAAACTAAGCAATTTCTATGGAATATTAAATTCCCTGAAACAGTTAGTTGTAGCATATGTTCACATCATTTATGCCTGGATTTTTAGTTATCACAGAAGTTGAATTTAGCTTCTATTCACTTCCATTTATGTATTCAGTGAATCAAGACAAAAATCTGTAGAGGATAGACCCTAGCCTGCTATGAAAAGAGATTATTGTTTTGCACTGTTGGTTTTTTCTTTAAATCTTTCCAATAACTGCATACCATTTTCCTTTTCAAGACCTCTTTGACCCTTCTGTGAACAGGTTAGTATTACGAGCTTCATTAAAAATTCCATGTTTTTCCTTTGCTAGATATTATACAAGATTACCTTTCAATAAAGAAAGGGTGATTTATTTGAAGACAAAATTTCAGGACAGTGACTTGAATAAGCAGAAAGCGTTATAGCTGGACATAATGGAAGAATGTCTCTGATCAGGAAGCAGACTTAAGACCCAGGGACAGAAAGAAACCATCTCACTCTTTTTCCTGGGCAGTTAGAAAAGCAATTTGCTTTCTTCTTCTATCATGTTTACTGGCTTCATTTCTGTAGATGACCTTGGCTTTAAAGATGTTATCAGACCTGAAAAACTCTTTTCTAGTAGCAATGTGAGTTAGCCCTGAGGCTACCATTTAGTTTTAGCTAATTCCAACCAAAGTTAAGTACACAGGAAAGCTATTTCCTCTGGCCATCTTACCAAGTAATCATTTTGCTGAAAGATGGGATCTTCTCTGGTAACACATTACTTTGTATTGACTTTACTGGACCAAGTCCTCTACCACACCCCAATGCATACACACACACACACACAAACAATCCACATTTTTGCTGATGTTCGAAGTATGGAGCAAAACACCTGCAGTATTCCCCATGATGGTTTCAGGTCCACTAATTATTTGGCAAATTGATTTTTTAGCCAATGGATATAAAAAATAAAGTTTATGATGTGTCTACCATTATGAAAATTTGCAATTCCTCGCCTGCTGTTCTGTAGGTATCTGGGTAAGATGAGTCCCTGAAAACGGCTAGAGAAATGTGCAGTCTGCCTGAGCATGCCTACAGCAGCATGACAGCAGCAGCGGGACGCAAAGGGAAGACATTCCACTGGACAACAAGAATCTCTTTCCATGCACCCATTGCATTGGCTTCCTTTGTGCTCAGCCTCAATTTCCACATCTGTAGAATAGTAATAATGACCTATCAGGGCTGTTGGAAAGCCTAAAGGCAATTGGGACAGGCATTGTGGCACAGCAGGGTAAGCTGCCACTTGGTACACCCATATCCCATATTGAAGTGCCAGTTTGAGT